AGTTATTTTATAGAATTTTTAATTGTTAAAACATTGTTTCTTACTTTAAAGAATTTAAAATTTTGTTTTGCAAAAACTTTTAAATCAAAAATTACAAAAGAATAATTTTACAAGAAATCTACGTCTACATATCAAGATGTATGGTTCTTTGCCATAATAAATTAAAAACAAGTACGTGTATTCTATCGAGCAGTCTCCTTCTATCAGTAGTTGACTTATCAAGAGTATATTATAATTTAATCAAATAAAATTTTTGCAATAAATAAAAATACGAGACAATTATGAAGGAAAACAAAATTGTAGCTGAATATTATACATCATTAAAGACAAGACAACCATCTGAACTCCAACAATTTAAAAACAGTTACAAATCTTTTAGTCTTGATAAAAAACTAAATATACCAAGAAATATCAATGAAGTAACGCAAATGAGAAATCGTAATTTTGCAATTGAAAATCTCAATTCTACCGTAAATAAAAAACTAACGAAGACAGATTTTTGCAAATCTAAAAGTATTTCCAACAATTCCCTCAATGTGGGACTAAATTCAATTGGAATTAAGATTGCATGTAAAACGAGAACAAATAGGAACAATCCGGAACAAAAGAGAACAAATCGGAACAATCGGGAACAAAAAAGAGAAAAAATAAAATAAAAAACTATTCGATAATGTAGAACATAAAGCAGGTAGTCGTAAAAATAAATTTAGATGAAGAAGCAGGTGAATTAATTAGTAAATCTTTAGAAACTTTTCAGTCATAAATGGACAAACTAGTTTCATACATTCCCAACGATGAGAAAGAAAAATGGAAAAAAGATTTAAAACCTATTATTACTGAAATAAACAGATTAGAAGATGGAGCAAAAATAGTTGGTTTCAAACAAGAAGTTGTGGATAAATATATTGCAAGAAAAACAGCTAATTTATTCCTTGAACAATTAATTATGACTGACTGTGAACTAGAGTCCGCTAATATTTTGTTATAAAAATCATATGAACATTTTAATTCTAAACAAATAGAGACTTGTCATTTATTAGAAAATTTATTTATCAAAAACTTGAAGATTAGGAAAGCGAATTTTAAGGAAATCTAGTTTTGCCAGGGTTAATACGTTATTTTCATACATTTTAAATTGATTATACATATTTTTAAATACTAATCGTTCAAAGTCATTATTTGGTTTGCTTCTCATATTGTTCAACTTTTTTTGAAACATTTGCCGTGTTTCTTGGTCATCGTTATGTAAGCGATTCATTTAATTTATTACATTTTTTTTCATAAGATATAGTGCGTGCTAAAACACACTGTCCCTGTTTAGGTAAAACTGTGAGAATTCAAAAATACGTGTTGTATATGGAGGTAATAATTTTAATGATTATTTAATTAATTGTAGAAAGAAAAAAAATTCTCACAAAAGATATCTAGTGCAATATGAGACCTAAGTATTATAAAAAGTCTACATAAAATGAAAGAAAAGCTAAATATCAACGTAGGTTCAAGGGAAATGACAGCAATTATTCTAGAATTTAATAATAATAATAATATAGAGAAAGCTATTAGAAATAATTATATGCTGAAGACAAACAAAATATGAAAAAAACAGCAATATTTATAAATGAATCAGGATTATATCCTTTAATTTTATCATCCAAGAAAGAAGAAGCAAAAAAATTTACATCAGAGGTATTTCCCACAATAAGAAAACATGGCAAATATAAAAGAATTGAATAACGATAATATGAAACTGAGAGATTTACTATAGGTAAATGGGATCGGTATATAACGCGTAGTACATATAATTATTTTGAAGTAGCTATAACTCAAGAAGACAAATATTGTCACCCAATAATAAAAAATAAATTAAATTATTGACATAGATAATACTGTTACTTTAAGTTTATAATCAAGACGTACTTTTCATATTAGATAATGATCAACCTTTGTTTAACGGTAAAGATTTAGCAGAAATATTGGGTTATGAAAAATCAACAAATGCTATAAAAGCTAGTTAGAATGTTAAAACTCGCGAGTGGACTGTGTCCACGAATTTATGGGATTTATAGATGAAATAATGCGTGGGTTAGAGAGAGATAAAAGATGCGATTTTAAGAATTTTTTAAAAGATAACGAAATTACATATGAAGAAATAGATAAAAATGAAAAAGGAAATTCCGACAAAGTCCTCATGAGCGAAGCGAATTTATATGAATATATACAAAATGATTAAAAATTTTAAAGAACTAATAATGATGTTGAATAACAATAAGGCAAAAAAAGTTAGGAAATATTATTTCAAATTAGAAGAGTTGGTAGATAAATAGGAAAATTACGTTAACGAATATAATCTTTTAAAGCAATATAAAATTAATCCTAATCCATTAAACCTATTTGATTTTATAAATAAAAATAACTAGTCCTACAAAATTAATAAGAGTACGTGGTTTACCAATACCGATGGTTTCCGTTATTTAAAAGAAAAATATAATAATAACAAATGATCATTTATGCTTTATACAATATGGAATTTATACAATATAGTCATCCCCCACTGAATTTACGCGATATTAAGAAGGATTTAAAGAAAATTTTAGAAAACTCATGATAAGATTAAAAATGAATTATCATATAATAAAAAATTAATAACAAAATAGATATTATAAATGTTTCGCCAAATAATTTAAATAAAACAATGTGAATTTTATTGAGTGTTCGTAATTTTAAATCCCTAATAATGACATTACTATAGAGAATACTATATTACTTTGGAAGAAATATTTTATTCATATTTGTAATACACTAAAGACTTTTATTTGAATATAGAAAAATCACTCGATTAAGATAATCAGATAAAGCAAATTGAAACGATAATCTGAAATTAAGAGAGATGGTTAAAAATATTATCAAGTTAACCAAAGACCATATAATAATATAATAGTTTTATAGCAAAGATTTACAGCATTTTTCAAACAATGTAAATATTTACCTTTAGAATTATATGAAATCAGAGTAGCATTCCCCCGCATTTGGTACTTCAAATTTTAATTTATTTAGAAACAGCAAATAGGAAAAGAAACCTCTTGTCTACCTACATACCTTCAAGCAATAAACAGTATTTTGTTATGAAGACAATAAGTACTACTTTTGTAAACTTCATCATATCAGTAGCAACCCCTAACGGATTAAAAACATACAGGGTGCGCCAGAACTCGCGCCCCAGAGAAAAATGTCAAATGCCGGAGGCAATAGGTCGCCAAAAAGTGGAGCCGAAGAAGTAATTTTTGCTTGCATAAGAAAGTTATTAGACCCTTAAATCCACCAATTCCAGAAGGGCACCTCAAGGTGTGACTGAAAAATTATATCCGTTGCTAGGTTACGAAAATAATACCAATTTGACCAGAATTTAAAAAAATAGCTGGTCTACTGTAATTTTGCGTTTGACATTTATCGTGATGTGGGTGACATAACTTGCTAGTTTCCGGTATTTTTCTCGCTGAAGAGGTTGTACACAAGTAAAATGAGACAGAATCGTTAATTATTATCAACAATTATCAAAAATTATTGAAACATTCTGGAAATTCCTGATGAACCGCGACTTCTCTAAAACTTCTTCACAGGTATTGTTCCTTCTCAACTTTTTCTTCGATCTGATACAGATTAACAAACCGATAAATGAATTTTAGAGCTTGAAAACTAGTGTATTATCCTTCTGAAACAAAGAAGCAAGTGAGAGTGAGAGACCAGAAAAACATGAAGTAGGTACGCAAGTTTCCTTATTTACTTTAATGCAAAATTAACAGGAAAATGTACTTTTTATAAGAAATTGTGCTTAAATAAAACAGGTTACTGATTTTAATATCAAAATAGTAGTTTTACTCTGGTATTTAGGCATTTTTGCCCAGTAGAAATTCTAACCTCAAAATTTCAACAACAATTTATTGTTGTTTTCTTCCACTCACATGAGCTTACTATAACCCCTTGGCTGTTTTTTCATTAAAAAATCCAGAAGAGTGTTGCGATGTTTGCATTTAGTACGAAAAGTTAGTATTTTTGCTAATGTTTTAATTCCGAGGGCATTTCAGCAACGCTTTTCGGTGAATTTGTGGGCTGGTCTTCTGGGGAATCATGTGGTCTGTCAATAATATCAACTAATTTCAACATAACGTGACTCCCTTTCTAAAAAGTACATTATTCTGTTAATTTTGCATTAAAGTAAATAAATAAACTTGCGTACTTCTTCATGTTTTTCTGGTCTCTCACTCTCACTCTCTTCTTTGTTTCATACGGATATTGCACAAGTTTTCAAGCTCTAAAATTCATTTATCGGTTTGTTAATCTGTATCAGATCGAAGAAAAAGTTGAGAAAGAACAATACCTGTGAAGAAGTTTTAGAGAAGTYG